CCAGCCCAGACTCCATCTCATTTCCGGGTTATTTTCAGCTGATTCCTCAGTATGGTTCCTGGTGGCTACAATTGTGGAGAACACTTTTAGATGCTGGTCTCTATATATATATATACAGACATAAATTTGCATATGTATACGTAAATACATATATATGTATATGTTTTCCGTTTCCCTGTATCGCATTCCTTTGGGTGCGTCTATACATCCTGGAGTTTCGTTGATCTTCAATGCACATACATGGCTCACAACTACTCATGAATCTCCAGCGCTACAGTAGCTTCCAGTTTCCTTCCTATTCTAAAGCCTGTCTGTACATACGGTTTATACCCTTTGCTTCGTGATGCATAAAGCCCTAAACCCTAAAACCTTAAAACCCCAAGCCCTGAAGCCATCTAACCCTAAACCTTAAACCCCTAAGCCTCAAAACCCTAAACCCTTCAAACCTCAAGCCCGTGAAGCCATCCACCCAGGCTTGCTGGCAGCTGGAGTCGCGCAGCCGGGCACTGGGAACTTCTGTGTCTTTTAGGGATACTTTGCCAAAAAGGATTCAGGGTTTAGGGTCTAGGTTTTAGGGTTCAGGGTTCAAGCAAAGGGACAGTTTTAGGGGTTGCATATAGGGAAAAGATAGGGTTTCACAGGGGTAAGATAGGGTTGCAAAGAGATCAGATAGGGTTACACACATAGGGATAATACGTGTAGCGATAAGAGAGGGCTACATCAGGGAAAGCATAGATAAGCGCAAGATAGGGTTGCATGGTGATAATATGGGGCTAGATAGGCATAAGATAGGGTTGCATGGAAGTAATATAGGCTTATATCGGAATAATATGGGGTTACATAGGGATAAGATATGGTTGCATCGGGAACCAGGGCTAGGCCTATATGAGCTATAGCCTAAACTCCTTAGAGGGGGCTATATAGGGGAGGAGTAGTATAGGGATTACTACTTGGGATCTAGGAGTTTACCCTATAGCTCATTTAGGGTTTAAGGGAATATGTGGAAATGGGGGGTTGGTCTAGAACTATTTTGGGGAATGTAATTAGAGTTCCTGCTGGTAATATATGGGGAAATTCTTTTTCATAATAGCCATTTTGGGAAGAGGAATTCGGATCATGAATTCAGGTCTATATCCCCCCCCCCAACCCCCCAATGTATGGACACCTCCATATGGAATCGCCTCAGCGCGGTAGCCCCTAGGTATAAGGGTTACGGGTGATGGAGAGAAACTTTCAATTACGAGCTAGGGTTACTACACAATGGCGATTCCCAGGGACTCAAGGCGTGGATGCCCAAACAAGATTTCTGCCCTGTAGCAGGGATTCCAGGAAGTACGGGGCCGTCAAGGTTTTTGCGCCAGGCAGTTTCCGAAATCAATTATGTACCGTACCTCAACTGATGCTTTCCTTCCTCTCGATAGCAGACCTCAATTTCAACAAAAATGTTTAAAGTCTTAGCAGCTCTCGATCTTAGACCACAAAGACCACAAAGGCCCAAAACCTACACCATAAACGCCAGCCCCGTCAAAAATTGGAGGGCCAAGCCCTAAACTCCAAAGACTCTGACCCCCAAAAAAACCTTTCAACCCTAAATCCTAAAACCAAACACTAGCCCCTAAACCCTAAACCCCTTAACCCTAAACCCCTTAACCCTAAACCCCTTAACCCTAAACCCCTTAATCCTAAACCCCTAAACCCTAAACCCCTAAACTCCTAACCCCTTAACCCTAAACCTCTTAACCCTAACCCCCAAAACCCTGAACCCCTTAACCCTAAACCCCTTAACCCTAAACCCCTTAACCCTAAACCCCTTAACCCTAAACCCCTTAACGCTAAACCCCTTAACCCTAAACCCCTTAACCCCTTAACCCTTAACCCCTTAAACCTTAACCCCAACGCCCTAAACCCCTTAACCCTAAACCCCTTAACCCTAAACCCCCAAACCCTAAACCCCTTAACCCTAAACCCCTTAACCCTAACCCCTTAACCCTAAGCCCCTTAACCCTAAACCCCTTAACCCCTTAACCCTTAACCCCTTAACCCCTAACCCCAACGCCCTAAACCCCTTGACCCTAAACCCCTAAACCCTAAACCCCTTAACCCTAAACCTCCTAACCCTAACCCCCAAAACCCTAAACCCCTTAACGCTAAACCCCTTAACCCTAAATCCCTTAACCCTAAACCCCTTAACCCTAAACCCCTTAACCCTAAACTCCTAAACCCCTTAACCCTAAACCCCTTAATCCTAAACCCCTAAACCCTAAACCCCTCAACACTCAAACTCAGGCCATGCTCCTGAGACAAAGTGCTGGGGCGCACTTGCGGCGGGATGCTGGGAGCTCGGGTTTGGTGTTTGAGGGTTCAGGGTTTGAGGATTCACAGTTAGAGGGTTTAGGGTCTTAGGGTCGAGGGTTTGGGGTTTGAGGGTTTGAGGGTGTGAGGGTGTAGCGTTTGAGGGTTGGAGGTTTAAAGATTTAGGGTGTTAGGTTTTAGGGTTGAGGGCTCTAGGGTTTATGGGAGAGCCTGGTGGCTGGTTGCATGTCCTTCAGAACAGCTAGCCATCACGTTGAGTTTTCAGTTGTGCCGGCAGCTCTCCAGTCCGTGCCTCAAAAAAGGTTTAGGTTTTGGGTTTACGGCTCATGGTTCGGAAGCTTGGGGCTCAGGTTTTGTGTTAAGTTTGTTCACAGCCCTTTTTGGCACAAATAATCCTAGACCGCACCGATTCCTTCGTGTAAGGTTCGTAGGGTCATCCAGAATAGTTAGCCGGGTATAGTGGGGGACCTTAAGCATGTTTGGGGATCATACAGGTATTACGGGTGCGTTCTTACTGGGAAGAATACAAAGCCTCATTATGTTGAGCACCCACTGGCCAGGGCATGATGTAGGTAGGGTTTTGAGAGTTCAGGGTCCGCACCACGTAATGACCACATGAGCATTATGTAGGGTATTCGGGGAATGCCCGCGAATCTCAAACCAGGTGCAAGAGACTTCTCCAACAGAGCCTGACAGAATCTTGAGGAAGGACCTTGGTTCTCAGTCGAATGTCTCCACAGTCCCTGAGTACATCCCTCATCCAAATAGAGCCCTAAAACCCCGTCTAGAGTCTAAAGTCAAGAACGGCATTGTGTTTGTGAACTTGGGCTGGGGCGTTCAGGAGTTCAGGTTGGCGTCGCTTGAAAGATGTCTTTGGATCAGAATAGGTCTTTTTCGCGCAGGCCCGCGGGCAATCATGTGCCGGTGAAGCCCGCGGCTGTTTCGGAGCGCTTCGCAAAGCCCATCGCCATGCAGCGCCAGGCTGAGGCTGCAGTCCCGCCCACCGTGCTCGACACGTAGCCAGAGCACTTTGCGGCGGACAATTGCGCAGGTCTTGGGAATATGGGCCCTGGTGCTGAGGGAGCCGAGGATGTTGTGACCTGATTGAAAATACCCAAGCAATATCCCCCTGCTAAGAGTAGAGTCCCTTACCTTCCATCTACGCTCTCCGTGCTTAGGCGGTCAAGAAGCTCTCTGACTTTCCGGCCGAAAAGGTCTACTTCGGCACGCCCTTGGGGCCTGCGGGCGCCATGATCCTGCCCAAGACGGACAACAAGCAGCTGCTACAAGACCGCCATCTGGTGGGCAAGGCCCCAGCTGCCGGCCGAGGCTGGGAAGTGTGTGATTGTTTTTGAGCCGCTTGTGTTTGCTCTGTAGCTCCAGGTCAAATCTCCGTGCGGTCCTTGGTAGACAACTACCAGGTTCTCGCGCAGGCAGAGCCCCCTCACAAGAAGGCGCGCAACGCGCAGGCGGCCGTTGCAAAGCCGCGCCGCAGGGTTCGGCCCTCCATCTCTGACGCCCCTTGCTCGCAAGTTGTCACATGACTTCAAGCGCTTCATGTCTTTTAACGCCTCCGTGAGAAGCCCCTGTGCCCAGGTGACAAAGCTCTTCGACGCTGCGTTTGAGACCTTTTTGCGCCTCTTTAAGTGGGCGTCCGACCAGAAGTTGGAGGTGGAGCTTCTGAGCTGGTCCGACAGCCCTCGCAATCAAATCCTCTTCCAAAATTCGTGCATGGAGGCGTGCCTCATGTCCTTGAAGGCAGTGAGTTCCCGCCGCAGCGCCATGTCCCAGGGCAATGTTCCAGGACTGGAGCGTGCGGTGGAAGCTGACGGTAGCCAGGTGGAAGCAGCATTCCTGTGAAGGAAGTGTGTGGACAGGACTGACTGGGTGATTAGATGTGGAACGAATTTGGTGATATTATTGACTATTGACTGAACCCAAACATATTGGCGTGGATGGAATTTTGACAATTTCGAAACTTGTCATTGATTTTCCCTGACCTTCTCCGGCATCTCTTGCAGGGTCTTCCCCTGAGTGCTCCTCTACGAGTCTAGCGTCGACTCCATACAGCTGAAGCACAATTATGACCTTAGAAAACAACTCGTAAATTTGTGCTCGTCATGGTAGGTCTACTTACGACATTTTTGAATTTAGTGCAGGTGTGGCTCAGAGGAGGTTGGGCTTTGATCTTAGGTATGCATCGGCAGCAGGGTCACCCGAAGTGGGCTTGCCCGTTAGGCCTTTTTATTACTATCTTTTCTTCCAAAGTCGCACAGGCAGCCACAGACTTGTCTTGCATCACGACAGGACGGGCCGATCTTTGCGGTCCCCTTAAAACAGACCATGTAAAGCTGCTTGTTAATTTAAACCAAGACATGATGCAGACAACAAACCGTGTGGCCGGGGGCCGGGGCCGGGGCCGGACCAACACTGCCGCGGCAAGGTGGAGACACTGAAACTGGCCACACTGCATAGGTGATCCGCTTTACTGGGACTG